TTAGCATGTGTAATGTGTGGGGGGTCATGGGGAGGGCTGTGCAACACAGAGAAGATGAGTAAGGATTCTGCAGCATCTTACTATGCTGATGGACAGTGACTGTAGTGGGGTTTGTGGGGGGGATTTGGTGAAGGGGGGAGCCTAGTAAACATAATGTTCTTCATGTAATTGTAGATTAATGATACCAAAAAAAAAACATTAACTACCACAGGACCCCATACATAAGTGTATATTAAAATCATATACATGTATATTAAAAACCATGTACATATATATACATATATATTGTCATATATTAACAGCCATTAACATCAGTCACACAAATACAAAGAGAATATATAAAAGTGACATATTTGAGAAGTCTTTATAGAGGCCACAAATAATTATTTCATGAAGTACAGTGACATGCTATCTACTGTTGACAGAATATGCATATATTTTGAGAAGAATTCAAATCCAGGGCCTAGACAGTCTCCAGCATATAGGTTCTCAGTTTGAATGAATAAATGAATTAGAGGCCAGAGCAGGCAGGTTTTCTTATTTCTATACAGTGGTTCTCTCCTCACACATGTAGGGGGCGTCCCCAAGAGACAAACACCCCAGAATCGTGGCACGGTGGTAGTCCTGAGCATTTTTACAAGTCCCCAGGGGCCTGATGTCCCGACCCGACCGAGTCACTGCTGTACAGAGTGCCCAGCACAGCAGTGGCTCAGCGCCCCTCAGCTCTGCCTTCACACCCACTGCTGCTGGCGGCCCATTGGGACTCCCTCCCCCACCCTCTGTGCCCGACCTACTTTTTGGTTCTGTCTCTGTTGTTTACATAGCACACCTTTCATTTAGCAAAAGCATATGGCTGTGTCCACTGGAGATGGTATTAGAATTACAGTGGGGGCTGCCTAGGACAGAAGTGGGGATCCCCTGCAAAGAGCCATGAAACACCTTTTAGGGGGATGGGATTTCTACACCTTGATTGTGGAGGCAGTTACACAGCAGCATAAAATTACCAAAATTCATCCAAACTGTATGTAAAACTGCACACATCTTATGGCATGTAAATTATGCCTCAATAAGGCTGGGAAATACACACTACCATGCACAGAGAAAAACAGTATGGGGCAGGACATACTCCACTTGGAGCAACGTAATGGTGGGATGTTGCTATTCATTACAACCTAATCTTCATTCAAAAAATTTACAAGCTTGATCACTAGTACATTTCATAAATACAATAATTTGCTGTTAGTGTATCTTTTCTTTTTTGAGTTGAAAGGTTGCTTAAAACGATAAAAAAGAAGAAAAAAAACATCAGTAGGACAACTTACTGGGGTGGGCTGAGCTGGGATGTGGACCGGCTGCCACCATCCGGGAAGTCGCTACAGCTTTGGTGGAAGCCAGTCGTGCTGCCGGGCACAACACAGGGTGACCAGGACGCTGGGGGCCAGGCTGGGAGATGCGGCTTGATCCACGGGCAGTGGGAGGTGCTCAAAGGCTTTTAACAGAGCAATGTCGAGATCAAAATAGTGAACTAAATGTTATTTAGCCATGAAAAGGAAGGAAATGCTGATACAGGCTGTAAGGTGGATGAGCCCTGAAGAGAGCGGGCTAAATGAAACGCGCCAGACACGAGGGGGCAAGCACCATGCGGTCCCGCTCAGTGAGACGCCAGGAACAGGGGACGCCAGGGACTGAACGTAGGTCAGGCTGCCAGGTGCCGGGGTGGGTGTGTGGGGCTCACTCCTTAATGGGCGCAGAGCTTCTGTTATGGGGTAAAGGAAGAATCCTGGAAACAGAGAGGGGATGCTTACACAGAAGTGCAAATGTAATTAATGGCCCCGAACTGTATGCTTAAAAATGGCTAAATGGTAATGTTATGTACATTTTACCACAATAAAATATAAACAAACCAAAAGCCAGGCCAAAGCAAGGTGTCCTGACTATAAGCAGGACAAGTCCTCTTGCGTCTGTATTGACAACCACTTGTCATCCATTTAAAAATGACGAAACAAAATGAATGTGATCCTGAGCAGCTCAGCAGCAGAGCAGGCCAAGAGCTCCCGGGTACCCCACATGCCCAAGATGCAGACTCCCGGGCGGGCACCACCAGGCCTCCCCAGCCCCCGGCCGGCCCGCTGCACAGACCCCATTCCCAGCACTTACCCACGCAGGAGCCTCGCTTCCGAGGCGGTCTTGCCCCTGCTGGGGCCTGCAGGGAAGCACAAGGAAAGACAGAGGGAGCGCGAGGTCTAAGCTCCTAATGTGACGTGCGTAAAGCAAGAGGGACAAATGAAGACAAATGAAGCTTTTAGAGTCAAAGCAGGAGCCTCAACAGTGACTTCAAGCCTTAATTTCCCGGTACCACACCTCTGCTGTTAAAAGAGGCTATTTCTGCTGTTTTGGTCCTAAGGTTAACTTCTGAAAGTCAAGACTCCCCCTGTTCACTTAAGCCAACCCACTTAGGCACCGGGAGGGAAGGCACGCCAGGCACTGGGAAGGCCACTGTCACCTCGGCACAACCTGGCTATGGAGTCCATGCCATCCATGGCAGCTGTGCCGGCCAGTGGAACAGGGTCCCTCCCGAGAAGCCCCTCACCAAGCACCAGCCGCGAAGAACAGGCAACCGATCCCCTGGCTACGGGGGCCTCCTGCCTGGCTATCCTCTGGCAGAGCCCTGCTCCCCTGCCCCTCATTCACTCAACATTGTAAGAAATTGCTACCGAGCACCTACGATGCTGAGGACACACCGTGAGCAGATGAGGCCCTGGGTGCTGCCCTCACACAGCTTCCACTGCCCTGGCCTCAGTGTGTGCAGACGAGGGGGAGCTGCCACGACACACTGGGCCCCACATGGTGACATTTCTTCACTAGTTCATTCCTCTCTTTTTAGAAAATTAAAAACGACACTTTTCCAAACTATCTTGAAACTCTTCTAGACTGTTTTTATTGTCATTGCCTCCCAGAATTTTAAAACTTAATTTCCCACCACCCCAGTATGTGACCAAAAGCTACAAGCCAGCACCTAATAACGCTACCATAAAACCAAGCATGGGAACAAGGTGACTGTGGGCCTCTGAGATGGAGAACGGGCTGAATGAACACTGGGAGTTTATACCACTAGCAAGATTTACAATCTTACAAAAAGAACACTTAAAACCTGACATTGAGAAAGCAGCACAGTTCTCAAAGTGTTTCTTCTGTCGTACGACACAATAATGAGCACCAAACCATGGGCATTTTGCAACATGTCCCTACAGAGGATGTTCTTCATACTAACTCCTCTGTCTTATGCTTGTGACAAATGAAAAGGAACAAAAATAGCTTTGATAAAATTAAGAGATGACAACTTCCAGAGAGACAATAAATTTGCTCAGGATTGATGACAAGATGTATGGCAAGTTTTGTGCAGCCAATATGTTGGCAGTTCCAACTTTCGAAAAGGCTGTTTTAAAACATTTGTTTACAAAATGGTTTTCCCGAAACTTGGGGATAGATAGAATTTCCTATAAGAGTCACACAGTCTCTCTTGGCCAGTAACAAACCTGAGTAAATACAGCACCAATGACAAAACAGGAGAATCTTTACATCGCTCAAATCCCAACCAGGCTTTCTGATCCCTGAAAAACTAAATGTATAAAATTTGGTACAGAATTATGTCTGAAGTGACAAAAAGACACTTGATTTGAGGAGTATCTCTGAAAATAATCTCTAATAACTTGAAATTTATTTATGTATTTTGTTACACTACATTTAAAAAGGATACTTAACAAAATATAAGCTTTCCAAAATCCTTACCCTTTTTTCTTGGTGAACTATGCTTAGATTTTTTGGTTTCTTCTAATATCTGCTAACCATACTCTATGACGATCTGACAATTTAGAGAATTGGAAGCTGTAAAGTAAACACTCTTTAGATACTGCCATAATGTCATTTAATTATCCACATTCTTGCCCACAATATTTAAACTTGAAATGTAAAAATGCTATGTAAGATAGTGGATCTGTGGCATCTTGCTGCACTGATGGACAGTGCCTGCATTGGGGTTTGGGTGGGAACTTGATAATATGGGTAAATGTAGTAACCACATTGCTTTTTCATGTGAAACCTTCATAAGAGTGTATATCAATCATACCTTAAAAAACTTTTTTAAAATATATATATATCAAGTATGATCAATGCTCAAAACTTTCAAAAAAAAAAGTGCTATGTAAGAATACATATGTAATTTAGATGTAAACAGACATTCACGTATGTCTGGAAAAAGACCTGAAGGGAAATGCAAACTCTACCTGCAATCGCACCTGGGGAAGCGTCATGGAGGGAGAAGAGGAGCGAAAGGAAGTTTCACTTTTTCTTTTTTTTATACGTGTGCATTAATTTTTACAAGCATGGATAGCATGCAGTTGTGTTTAAGAGATACATTTTTTTTCTGCATGTGCTTGTAAACTGTTCCCGGTCCAACACGGGTCGCACCGCTGGGGGCCAGCACTTCTGGAGAAGCCACGCGAAGATGCCTCGAGAGAAGCCTTGTAGATGAGGGGCGCTGCGAGGGATTCTTCTTAAACTCCTGCTTGATCAGGTGCTGAAGCTCACAGGAATAATGAGATGGCAGTGGGCTCACAGACCCCTGAAATATTTTGAGGAGAAAACTTTTCCAACTATTTGCCTGAAACTAAAAAGGAAAACTGAACTGTAAAAGCAGATGCAAGGAAAGAGAGTGGACATAAGAAAATGCCAGCTGCACTGAAGTCAGATGAGTTACTTTAATTGTATAAATGTGCCTGCTGCCTGGTCATCCTTCCTCCTAAGGGAGTCCTTGAGGTGCTATCTTGCGCTCTCACCACCACCAGAATCTTGCGGTGACTCGGGAGAAAGGTAAACACAAATGGTAAAAACGTCTCACCTAGAAAGTCTCACCACCAGTGCTGCTTCGGGTGTATCACCATCACCGATATTTTTGCAGGCACACATTTTTAATATACTTTAAAAATCGATGTATGGCTTTCTAAAAAGTCAAATGACACTAACAAGCTTACAAGCGTCACATCCCTTGCCTCACTCCTCCCCAGAAAGCCCTGGGCCTGCTCCCCAGCAGTATGCACTTCAGACTTCTCCAGGGAGAAGAGAAGGGATGGAGGGAGGAAGGGACGGAGGAAAGCTAAATATACAACTACAGAACCAAAAAGTGGATATTTCCCATTAGCATATGCTACAAAAGTGGATCAAGGCAAAGATAAGAGCAATGGAAACATGGAAAAAAACCTCTGTAATGAACTCATCCTGGGAAAGCAAACCGCGCGCTGGGATCCGGCACATTATAGAGGCCTCAGGACTAAAAGGGGCCGTTCACGGTGTGCACCCCACACTCATCGGGTGCTGGAGGGGGCAGAGCTCAGAGAGAAGGCAGCCCAAGGACCAGTGTCCCTGGAAGCATGAAGAAACGAGGCGACGGCCAGGGGGTCATGAGCTAGCACATGAAAATACATGCATTTTCCAACATAACAAATGTAAATTACCTTTAATAAGAACAGAAATCCCAAGTAGTTCCTCGCTATTAAAATATAGGGCAGTTTGGGCCTGATCCTTAGATCCTAACATCATGTTTGCAGAAACCCCCAGCCCCCAAATCAGGGTGGTCCTGGTGTCGCTTCAGCAGTGTTTGCTGCGAGAGGGAGTATCTGTGGGCACAGAGGACCACAGGTGGAAGGACTTCAGGAGTCGCTTGGCGCAGCCTCCACCGGGACCTTCCATGCCACTGACAGGCAGGCCTCCGGGCGGACGCAGCGTTGGTGGACAGCTCCCCGCCTCGCCCAGCCGGCAGCCCCTGGGGGTGGCTTGGGATGGTTCTTCCTTACAGTAAGCCAAAATGCATCTTCCGGGAACTCTTGTCCATTAGCTCGCCGTTCCCAAATGAGGGACAAGAGGACCCACTCTCCTGCAGGGGAGCTCTTCAAAGACCAGAGTGGCTCCCCTGTTTGCCCTACACACACCCCCACTCCTCTATACTAAGCACCTCCTGTTCCCTCCATCATTCTTACCACCTATTTGTCACCCTCCAGACTTTTCCTAGATGATATTCTTTTTATTTTAACTAATGGTTTTTATGAACTCTTTTCCCCAACTTTGTTTTTTGAAATTTGAAACCCACAGAAAAGTTGTAAATGCCCACATGCCCCTTCCTGGATTCCCCCAATGTTAACACATGTCACGTTTGCGTGCCGTTTCCCTCTCCTGTATGTATCCGAACCTCTTCAAAAAAAGGTTGCACACATCAACCACTTCACCCCTGAACATGTCAGCACCCCTCTCCTGAGTGCAGGGCCACCCTCCTTATAAACCCAGCACCGTGATCACATCCAGGAACTGTAACCCTCATCAATATTATCTAGTATTTTGCCCAAACTCAAATTCCCCCAACTGTCCCAGTATGCTCCTTTATAGCTGTTCTGTCCCCGATTCAGCCAACTTTACTCTTAAAGGAATCTTACTATGCACTATCATACCCTTTTAAAGAGTCACACAGTCTCTCTAGGCCAGTAACAAACCTGAGTAAATACAGCACCAATGACAAAACAGGAGAATCTTTACATCGCTCAAATCCCAACCAGGCTTTCTGATCCCTGAAAAACTAAATGTATAAAATTTAGTACAGAATTATGTCTGAAGTGACAAAAAGACACTTGATTTGAGGAGTATCTCTGAAAATAATCTCTAATAACTTGAAATTTATTTATGTATTTTGTTACACTACATTTAAAAAGGATACTTAACAAAATATAAGCTTTCCAAAATCCTTACCCTTTTTTCTTGGTGAACTATGCTTAGATTTTTTGGTTTCTTCTAATATCTGCTAACCATACTCTATGACGATCTGACAATTTAGAGAATTGGAAGCTGTAAAGTAAACACTCTTTAGATACTGCCATAATGTCATTTAATTATCCACATTCTTGCCCACAATATTTAAACTTGAAATGTAAAAATGCTATGTAAGATAGTGGATCTGTGGCATCTTGCTGCACTGATGGACAGTGCCTGCATTGGGGTTTGGGTGGGAACTTGATAATATGGGTAAATGTAGTAACCACATTGCTTTTTCATGTGAAACCTTCATAAGAGTGTATATCAATCATACCTTAAAAAACTTTTTTAAAATATATATATATCAAGTATGATCAATGCTCAAAACTTTCAAAAAAAAAAGTGCTATGTAAGAATACATATGTAATTTAGATGTAAACAGACATTCACGTATGTCTGGAAAAAGACCTGAAGGGAAATGCAAACTCTACCTGCAATCGCACCTGGGGAAGCGTCATGGAGGGAGAAGAGGAGCGAAAGGAAGTTTCACTTTTTCTTTTTTTTATACGTGTGCATTAATTTTTACAAGCATGGATAGCATGCAGTTGTGTTTAAGAGATACATTTTTTTTCTGCATGTGCTTGTAAACTGTTCCCGGTCCAACACGGGTCGCACCGCTGGGGGCCAGCACTTCTGGAGAAGCCACGCGAAGATGCCTCGAGAGAAGCCTTGTAGATGAGGGGCGCTGCGAGGGATTCTTCTTAAACTCCTGCTTGATCAGGTGCTGAAGCTCACAGGAATAATGAGATGGCAGTGGGCTCACAGACCCCTGAAATATTTTGAGGAGAAAACTTTTCCAACTATTTGCCTGAAACTAAAAAGGAAAACTGAACTGTAAAAGCAGATGCAAGGAAAGAGAGTGGACATAAGAAAATGCCAGCTGCACTGAAGTCAGATGAGTTACTTTAATTGTATAAATGTGCCTGCTGCCTGGTCATCCTTCCTCCTAAGGGAGTCCTTGAGGTGCTATCTTGCGCTCTCACCACCACCAGAATCTTGCGGTGACTCGGGAGAAAGGTAAACACAAATGGTAAAAACGTCTCACCTAGAAAGTCTCACCACCAGTGCTGCTTCGGGTGTATCACCATCACCGATATTTTTGCAGGCACACATTTTTAATATACTTTAAAAATCGATGTATGGCTTTCTAAAAAGTCAAATGACACTAACAAGCTTACAAGCGTCACATCCCTTGCCTCACTCCTCCCCAGAAAGCCCTGGGCCTGCTCCCCAGCAGTATGCACTTCAGACTTCTCCAGGGAGAAGAGAAGGGATGGAGGGAGGAAGGGACGGAGGAAAGCTAAATATACAACTACAGAACCAAAAAGTGGATATTTCCCATTAGCATATGCTACAAAAGTGGATCAAGGCAAAGATAAGAGCAATGGAAACATGGAAAAAAACCTCTGTAATGAACTCATCCTGGGAAAGCAAACCGCGCGCTGGGATCCGGCACATTATAGAGGCCTCAGGACTAAAAGGGGCCGTTCACGGTGTGCACCCCACACTCATCGGGTGCTGGAGGGGGCAGAGCTCAGAGAGAAGGCAGCCCAAGGACCAGTGTCCCTGGAAGCATGAAGAAACGAGGCGACGGCCAGGGGGTCATGAGCTAGCACATGAAAATACATGCATTTTCCAACATAACAAATGTAAATTACCTTTAATAAGAACAGAAATCCCAAGTAGTTCCTCGCTATTAAAATATAGGGCAGTTTGGGCCTGATCCTTAGATCCTAACATCATGTTTGCAGAAACCCCCAGCCCCCAAATCAGGGTGGTCCTGGTGTCGCTTCAGCAGTGTTTGCTGCGAGAGGGAGTATCTGTGGGCACAGAGGACCACAGGTGGAAGGACTTCAGGAGTCGCTTGGCGCAGCCTCCACCGGGACCTTCCATGCCACTGACAGGCAGGCCTCCGGGCGGACGCAGCGTTGGTGGACAGCTCCCCGCCTCGCCCAGCCGGCAGCCCCTGGGGGTGGCTTGGGATGGTTCTTCCTTACAGTAAGCCAAAATGCATCTTCCGGGAACTCTTGTCCATTAGCTCGCCGTTCCCAAATGAGGGACAAGAGGACCCACTCTCCTGCAGGGGAGCTCTTCAAAGACCAGAGTGGCTCCCCTGTTTGCCCTACACACACCCCCACTCCTCTATACTAAGCACCTCCTGTTCCCTCCATCATTCTTACCACCTATTTGTCACCCTCCAGACTTTTCCTAGATGATATTCTTTTTATTTTAACTAATGGTTTTTATGAACTCTTTTCCCCAACTTTGTTTTTTGAAATTTGAAACCCACAGAAAAGTTGTAAATGCCCACATGCCCCTTCCTGGATTCCCCCAATGTTAACACATGTCACGTTTGCGTGCCGTTTCCCTCTCCTGTATGTATCCGAACCTCTTCAAAAAAAGGTTGCACACATCAACCACTTCACCCCTGAACATGTCAGCACCCCTCTCCTGAGTGCAGGGCCACCCTCCTTATAAACCCAGCACCGTGATCACATCCAGGAACTGTAACCCTCATCAATATTATCTAGTATTTTGCCCAAACTCAAATTCCCCCAACTGTCCCAGTATGCTCCTTTATAGCTGTTCTGTCCCCGATTCAGCCAACTTTACTCTTAAAGGAATCTTACTATGCACTATCATACCCTTTTCAGAGAAAACTTGGCAGCAGGTAACAAGAGCCTTTAGGTGTTTCTCCTAGGGATTCATGCCGACATGCGATGCAAAACAGGGACGTGTTTACACCCAGAGCGTTACCGCTCACAGCACCGTCTATGACGCTGAGAACTGGGAACACACGGTCAGGGGCACAGGAATGTTAAGTAAATTTTGGAAGAGTCATGTAGTAAAATACTATGCAACCATTAACGATTTTTGTGAAGAGTTTTAACATGGTGAAATGGGTATGATGTAATATAAAGTGAAAAATAGCAAGATACCAAACTGTATAGATGGTATATAAACTAGGTTTTGGGGAAAAAGGGAATGGATGGAAAAAACACCGAGACGCTGCCATTCCCTTCTTGTCTATCTCTATAGTTCCAGTCCTCCCCCTGCGAGCCACTCCCTCAATGGGCACATATTACTTGTATTCAGAAAAAAATATGTTTTAAATCATAAGATTTTCATACTATGTTCTTGTGACCAATTAACCTATCAGTCAAGTATTTATTATCTAATCCATAAATGTTAACTCAATGACATGATCCAGTGGTTCCCAAAGTTTACTGCATTTGGAATCACTTGGTGATCCTGGAAAATTACTAATGGCTGTTTCTCACCCCAGACACTCTGATTTAACTGCTCAGGTTGCAACCTGTGCTTTGGGATTTTTAAAAGTAGGAGCTGTGAAGTTTGGGGGCCGGTGACATAATCCATACAGTCCCCAGAGATGACTCGCCTTTCAGCATTGACGGCTCCTTTCAGCTCTGATTAAGACAGCTGTAAAACTAGGGCTTTCATCTAGAAGCCTGGGAATTTAGATTCTACACTACTTTAGATACACTGTTTTAAAAACCGAACCTTGTTTGTAGGCTACAATGCCTGTCACCAGTCACCCTGGCACCAAATAAGTAGATCACTTCCTTTTATTTTTACAAGGCATGTTTTCCCAAATTTCTGGGGGTACGTAATACAGTGTTCCCACATATGTACAAGCAAATGCCATGGGACTAAAACCAAAAAGAGACAAAGACAACTTACAGAGCATTCCTAAATAATGGATGTTTTGATTACTGTTACCGCCATAGAATAGACATACATACTGGGAGAGGAGACAGGCAGATCCAAAATCTCCTAGATTTACTTTCCCATTTTGGGTAAGGAAAATATTCTGCATTAAGAAAAGAAGAGCTCAGATGATGTCTTCCATAAGGCAGACGTCTCTGGAGAAGCATCTTTCACAGCCTGCTGATGACAGAGGCGCGGTAGGAACACCAACAGCTGAGTCCCCCAGCAGAACACGTAAAGACAGGATACTCTCTCAACAGCTACACGGTCCCCTGCTTGAGAATTCACGATGACTGCTTAAAAATCTAACAGGTGAGCTTCAGACTGTATCAGCAGAGCCTGATCGACAGCCAGCGACCCTCTGTCAGAATAATTCCACGTGGCAAGCCCAGGTCTCAACCATTTTCCAGCTGAGAACATACAGCTTAGTAATCAGTCACTAAGAGAGCTTGGAACATGTTGACACTACTATGAAAGAGATTTAATGATTTCTTCTCACGTAGTACCTTATTTGGCTAGTCTAAGTATTATAGACTATAAATAAAATGTCCCAGAAGGAAATAGAATAACAGAGAATAGAGGGAATGAAATGGTTTTGGGTTTTTTTTAGGTCCACTTACCTTGGACTTGATATCTCTGTGTAACACACGTTTCTTGTGAATGTGATTTACTCCAAGGCACATTTGCACAAATCAGTTAAGTATCTGTAAGGAAAAAGGATGCAGATGTGCAGGAATTCAGTCACTGGCTCGTGTGAACCCAAGACTCCAAAGAATTGTCTTTGGGCCTCAGCTGACCTGACTTTTATGTACTGTGAGTGCAGAACTCCTGGAAATTACACAGTCCAACGAAGACTCAGCGTGGCCGGGGACATTCGGGAAAGCTGTGAATCCTACGTGTCAGTCAGTATCTTACATATGAATGCTCATTATAGTTTTATTGTATTTAACCAAATACAAGTATTTCTTGAATACATACAGGAAGGTAGCTCACCACTAAGAAATGAATATGCTACAACTTTTTACAGTACAAGCATTACATGATTTTCATTTACTTTTTCTTAATATTCAAATGTTAACATTAAAAGATTTCATTGTATCATCAACAGTCCTTTGAGATCAGCTCATAACCCTCCAGTTAACAGTACTCAGAATCTCCAGACTCCAAGGGGCCCTATAATTAAATGTCAAGCTGATGTTTTTCCCCTTTTTGCTATGGAGAGCCATCCATTTGTGCCCAAGGCTGACCTCCTATGGAACCCATATTTTTAAAAGCACAACTTCAAAATGAAAAATATTTATGCCAATATACTTTCCTAATATGTTATTATACCTTAAATCAAATGCAGCACCATTAAAGTTGTTTACTTAAATATTTCCCTTAGTCAACTTGTTCCATGATATTTAGCATGCACTTTTCCACTAAAAGTGAGTAAGCACTAGACTTAAGGGAACACACTGAAATTCAGAAGGAAAAAGATTGAGACTAGGTACTCCCAAGACACAGAAATGCAGGTTCCATTCCTCTGGTGATTTGGTAACACACAGTGAATTAATTTGCCTCCCAAAATGTGACCACAATCACAATCAGAACTGTAAATATCTAGGACAGAAAGTGATGAGAAATACAATTTTGATATTCTTCTAAACATGGAAGTTTTATTCCTTGATTCTTTGTAAACATGTCTATTTCATTTCTTATTCCAGCTATACCCTGATGACACTAAACAATCACTCTGGTACAGAAACACATTATTTCTAACTAGTCCATCAGGAAATCAGACACCAGTGCTTTTAAATGACACAGATTTTAGGAGAAAAGTTGCTTCTAAACCTTGAGGGAAACTGTGTAAGTCAGTCTCTTATTGTATCTTCAGGAAACAACTTTCCTTTCTGATGTTTAGTCTTTTGCATTAGGTCCCCTCCATCACAATATTCCATCACAATATACAGATGTCCTTCAGCTAAAACAAGTGGAAGATACTTTAGGAAAGCAGAGTGGCCATAATCAAATCCAGAAATGCATGAAGGTGGGAGATTCACATTGACCTTCAAATGATTCTTTAAAGGCAACAATATTGGGGTGTTTCATTTTGGCCAGGAGAACAACCTCCTTCCTAGAATTCTATGTATCAAAGAAAGACTAAAAAAAGAGTTTATGCATAAATATAACACCTCATTTTAAAACAGATGGCTTTCCAATAATTATAGCACAGTTTGTAAGATAGGCCAATGCTAGATGCAGTTTCATAGCTCCGCACTTTGACCCAACTTGTTATTTAATTCTAGAGAAAATATATGGCAATTTTTCAACGACGGCTATATTTTGCATGCTTAAGCTGACCCCTTATATCCTTACAAGTATAGAATGTAAACTAGCTCTAACATCAGCTGAAGCATAATGAGATTTGGAGAGCCAGTATGTCCTTATATAGTATATAGTATATATAAGGTATATATATTTATATATATACATAAGGTATATATATTACATAAGGTATATATATTATATATATATATATAAAATAGTAAATCCTTAAAGAAAGACTAGGGATTCCCTGTTTTACTGCCTGTATTACTTTATCAGTCCACTGGCTCAGATTAAAAAGAATAGACTGATGTACCACTGCAGCGACAATGGTAGAAGATGACTTGCAAAAGTAAGTTTCCAAAACTGTTTATCCCCTAACTTACTGTAGGGATGAAATCCTGAACGGCTTACCTTAAACCTAAGAAACTGCCTCTGATTAGGTACTAGCACGAAGGTTCGTCAGCACCGAGAACTCATTAAAAACACGAATTCACAGGCCCACCCAAACCTGCTCCAACAGAAACCCCAGGGGAGGCTCAGCAGCGTGTTTTAAACCAGCCCTCCAGGAGACTGCTGCCCGCTGCAGGATCACCAAAGGAGGCCAAGAGTGCAGTGGGAAGAAAATACGCAGCACTTCACAATGTGGGGCGGGGCGGGGGGCACCGGGAAGGCAGCGGAGCACAGAGGAGACAAGCAGTGACTCTCTAGCATCTCACTACGCTGCTGGACAGTGACTGTGATGGGGTATGCGGTGGGGACTTGATAATGGGGGGAGTCTAGCAACCACAATGTTGCTCATGTAATTATATATTAACGATAACAGAAAAAAGAAATGTACCACTTGAAGAACTGTATTAATATGTATGTTTTTTAATTGATCTAAACATTATTAAACAGCCTCCATGACAGATTCTCTGACCATTATGATACACAAGGAGAAATCAGCAACTTCCTCACCTGACAGGGGAACAAAACCCATAAATTGACTGACAGAACAGGTTCCCTCACACCGAAGTCTTTACTGTGCTTTCACATTCCTTTTTCACTAATATTGCACCTGAGTTGCTTTGGCAAAGCTTCCCGACACCTTTATGCATACAAAACTGGAAATTATTACAAATCATTCATGCTGAGATAAAAAGCAATCACTGCCCAAACTCTATTTCTCTCCCTTTTTGGTAATGACAACATCCTAAAATTCACATGAAATATATTAAGAGCTTGTAACGCTAATGAATAAACCCATTATATCTGCATGGAGCAATTCCGTATTATAACTCAAGAACTTATTTTCCTATGTAAATTACATGCATATCTAATTACTGCTTTTCTGCCGAAAGAGCCCCCCCACCATCACTCTCAGGACCGAGTACCCATCCACGCTGGGGGACGCACGAGCCGGGCTCCACTCGTGCAGTCTCCATGAGTTCTGCTAACCTGTACACAAAAACAGAAACATATAAGAATTAAATTTATTTTCAAACAGCAGACTTACTTCAAAATAGCTCTAATCATCATAAGACAGCAGCAACTTATTCCACTTTTCATTCAACAGGTAGGCATTTAGCACCTGCACTGGGTTTTTAAATTCTGAACATGCACATGCCCCAAATAGTTCCAGTCCTCAACCTGCAAGCCACTCCCTCAATGGGCACATATTACTTGTCTTCAGAAAAAAAATAAATGTTTTAAATCATAAGATCTTCATACCATGGGCCCCCTCCCCAAAGCAGACGGGACCACAGAACTTAGCCAAGGTAGGGTGGCAAGTCTTACAGAAAGAGTTCTGCTAGCATACAGCAGAAATGTCCAGAGGAGTCAGGAAAATGATAATTAAGCTGAACCCTACAGGTTGAATGGAAGTTGGCTAGGAATAGAGGAGGGAAAAGAGTGGTCAAGGCAGAGGGAATTGCACATTGAAGAGCAAAAGAGATTGTGTTCAGTTGCAAGAATTGAAAAAGGACTGTAATAGGCCGATAAGGCAGACAAGGCCTTGTCTGAAGGCTACTGTAAGCCAAGTTCAGGTGACTGGATTTTATCCTCCAGGTTATTAAAGGGCTGTCTCTGAAATGTTTTAACTCAGACAGCGTATCTGCATATTAGAAAAAAATCACTCTGGCTGCAGAGCAAACGGACCAGACAGGAGAGGGACAGGAGGGCCAGAGTGGGGCTCCAGCCAGCAACAGAAAAGGCAGGGAAATGATGGAACGGAGTAAGGTGGTGGCGATGGGAATGAAGAAAATGGGAAGGAAATATGTAGAAAGGTTTTTGGTGACAGGATGTGGGGGACAAGTAGGCAGAAGGGGACAAGGCAGACTCCCAGGTTTCTGGCATAACCTGGCTGCTGATTATCCCGAAAGAAAAGGCACATGGCTGTGTGTGTGGTTTTCCTGATTTTTCTGGCAGCGGGAGTGTGGCAGGACTGGGGAAAGGCATGGAGAAGGGAGACATAGGCTCCTTTCTGGGACACGTGGAGGTGGAAATGCCTGGGACTAGGAAGAGATATTAAGAGTCTGAACTTTTGTCCCCTGTTCTGTATTTCCAGGGTGAAGCAGCTACTTGGATTGCTTAATACATAAAGAGAGAACGAATATAAAGTTCCTAACACTTTGCCTGGTACATCAGAGGCCCTGGATACATGGCAGCTCTTATTATTAAAAGCTTAAAAACGTGATGCTTTTTTCCATTACCGTAAAAACACCGGAATGAATTTACTTGATTTTCAGAAAGCTTACTTGCAGTGCATGCTTTTTTTTTTTTTAAATCACACCACGAAGAATTATGATGCAGATAACATGGCAGGTAAAACAAAAATCACAAACTAAAACCTATTGTATTGAGACCTGTAAAACTTCATTTGTGTTTCTGTTCATCATAAAATTACCAGGAAACTCTCAAAATAATTTCTGCATATAACACATCAAACGCATTATCTTCAAAAACAATTTTCATGAACATTTAGGTCTTTCGGTATAGTTAGGGACCTGAAAGAAGTAAGTTCTTTGCCACTCTTCTAACTGACCTATTACATGATTTAACAAGGGGGCCGAGTTTTCCCACATTTCTATTCTTTCTTCTGTGTAATGGACAGTAACTGATAAGCAAGCACAACCACTGACTCTTCTTAGCTGAAAGCCACACTGGGGCTTCCCGCCTCACTCGTCCGTTACTCAATTCTCCACCCCTACGTTCACTCAAAGACCTGCGTGCGCTCCGTGCGTGCCAAGCCTCTTCGCACGCCTACACCAAAAACTAATAGTGATATGCAAATGCCCAGAAGTGGGATCGACGCTGAGAAGCTAAGCCCAGTTTAGGAGGCGCGCGCGCGCGGTGACCGCACCGTGAGGCTGACACGTCACCCAGCTCACCCGCGACAGGACCCTTCCTCCGGGTCAACCAGCCCGCCTCGCACGCCCCAACGGGTTGCGTCTGCTCCGCGCCGCCAGACTCCGACCCCACGCCGATCTGCTCTGTGTCCGAGCCCCGCTGCCAGCCCCACTCCCCAGCCCTCACCCCTTAACCCCCCAAGCCCCACGGCCGGTCTTCCCTGCGCATGCGGCCCGCCGCCAGCCCCACACCCCAGCCCCTAAGCCTCCCACCCCCACTACCGGTCTCCCCTGCGCATGTGCTCCGCCGCCTGCCCCCCTCCCCCCTCCCCCCACCCCGGTGTGTTCTGCGCTTACGCCCGGCCGCCATCCCCACCCCCCACTCTCCACCGCCTGTCTTGCCTGCGCCTGCGCCCCGCCGCCTGCCCGAGTCTGGCCTGCGCCTGCGCCCCGCCGCCTGCCCGAGTCTGGCCTGCGCCTGCGCCCTGTTGAGAGCCGGGGCGGGGCTGAGGGAGAACGGTGGGCGACCCAAGGTCGAAGCGTTAGGGGGCGCGTCTTCCGCGGGCTCCTAGCCTGCGCGGCTGCTGCTTGTCCTTAACGACCTGCCCCGCGATCTCCCGCCATCCTCCTTCCTCCCTTCAGTGGGTTAGTCTGGTAGGGCTGCCCTAAAGAAGGACCACATACGGCGCGGGGAGGGCACCCTAAACAACAGAAATGGAAGGTCTCCCAGTTCTGGAGGCTAGAAGCCCAGAATAAAGTGTCAGCAGGATTAGTTCTGAGGGCCAAGGTGGCACCTGTTCCAGTCGCTTTGGTTTGTAGAATCCTGGGTGGTTTTTTTTTGCGTATCTTTACGTCATCTGGCCAGTCACGTTGCATTAGAGGCCAACCCTAAGCCAGTATGACCTCATCTTAATTACATCTGCAAGGACCCTATTTCCCAGTAAGATCTTGGCGGTTAAAACCACAATATATCTTTTCAGGGTGACATAACTCAATCCATTACAATCAGCAAGCATAGGCTGGGTAGGATGGGGAGGAGAGCATGCAGAACAGATCTGCTCCTTGTCTCTGCAGCTGTTGCCAAGCTGTGATCCTAGCCAGGGGAGCTTCTGACCTGGGCAGTGATTAGAAATGGTAAAATGCTATTCGTATAGATACATACACGTTACTAGAGGCTAGGCACTGTTTTAGGTAATAGTTAATACATGTAAAGCGTTTAGAATAGGACTAGATAAGTGTTCTCTATTGATTCATTTAAACTGCAAAACAACCCTAGAGGTAGGTACAATTATCTCTGATGTACAGAGAGGGTAGGTTATTTACCTCAGGTCCCACAGCTACGAAGTGGTAGAACCAGCATTAGAAGCCAGGCAGTATGGCTCCAGAGCCTGGCTCATAACCACTACATTCCAATAACGTGAGAGAGATGTTGCAGTGGGAAATCATGTCCAAAGCTGATGGAGTTAGAGTCTGAAGAGGGCCCATTGGATTTATCAACAGGAGGGCACCGGTGGTGGAAAGAAACTAGCTTCAATGACACGTGTGGCTGTTGAGCACTTGCAAAGTGGTCAGTGTGCATAGCAATGTGCCATAAGTGTAAAATACATAGAATAATTCCTTAATACCTTAATAAAAAAATAACTAAATACACGGGATTTCAAAGACTTTGTACAAAAAAATGTAATATGTGTAAGATAAATTCTAGCCAAAATAAGCAGGCATAGAGAGGCACCAAAGGGCCAGGTATTTTATTTGAACGCAAATTCCCGGATGATGTTCCGCAGTGTGGCTATCACAGGCCAGGGGAAGTCACACTCAGCAGGGCAGGCAGCGAGTTTTTAAAGAAGGTAGGGGGAGGCAGAGCTTAGATTTACAGCTGTGTGAGGATTGGCTCGCCTAAGGCACATTTTTCAGGTTGGGAGGGGGCAGCAGCCGGAGACTTTGACACGTCATCAGTGTCTGACGTGATCCCCCCTCCCCCGAGTACCTTCAACCTTACATTATGTTCCATCAATTATTTTGTATATTGACTAATGCTGAAGTGACATTTTCAACATATTGGGTTAAATGAAATACATTATGAAAATTAAGTGCAATTGTAATGTTACTCTCTTAAACCGTAGCTACTAGGATAGTTTAAATTACATATGCAGCTTGCAATATATTTCTATTTCTAGTGCTGGTCTATAAGGTCACATTGGGGGAAAAGGGAGAAGTTGATAAAACTAGAGAGAGGTCTAGGTGACATCAAAGAACAAAGAGGGAGCAAGGGAGAAAGCACGCTGGTGGGAGAGTGGTCGTAATGAGAATCGGACCGTGTGGCCGTAGGATTTCAGAAGGGGGGCGGTTCTTGGCAATGACGAAGTCCACGTGCGGCCTAGGAATCAGTTCCGGAAGTACGGGGCAGAGATATTGCAATGAGAGGTGAGGAGGCACCTGAGAGATCATTAGGTGGCATTAACAGAGTCAGAGGATACACTAATCTAGTTCAGGGCCTTTCAACCTCAGCGCTGCTGACAGTTGGGGCTGGAGAATTCTTTGTGATGGGGGCGGGGCTTGGCGCAGGGCCTGTCCTGGGCTTTGTAGGTTGTTTAGCATTTTAGCATCTCTGGCCTCTAAGCACTACATGCCAGCAGTAGCCCCTGCCCTCAATTGCCACTAAAACTGTCTCCAGACTGAATGTCTCATGGCGGGGGTGAGGGTGGCAGGGGGCGTGTCCTGGCAGTGGGGAGAAGTGGGAGCGGTACACAATTGCCCCTGGTTGAGAACCACCAGTCACATGTACCGGCTGAAGCGACTTGAGTTCAGAGCAACTTCAGAGCAAGCTCAGGAATGGCAAGATTAGAAATAGATTTGATGTGATTTTCCTTATAAATAACAAAGATAAAAATTTTGCTCCTGGTAAATGGAAGGCACCCGTTTATTGAAAGGAGAAAGGAAATTGATGACATGATTTGCTAAATCCAAACCCTGTGTAAATCCGGGGCCAGGAAATCCTGGGGCAAAATACCTCTAAAATCCGAAATCAGTCAAAGGGAGAAATAAAGTTTAAAACCCGTTTATTGCCTACAGACTGCAGTCGGGGCCCCTTCTCTTTTTTTGCTTCACCAGAAGCAAAACCGGCCTCCCCGCCTCACTTCTCAGGCACTGATAAGCCCTCCTTGCCCAGGTGATTATCCATTGATATGTAGATGCTTCTCTCCACCCCTGAGGAATGATGCAAATGAACTAAAGCCTTACTTCTTTCCACCTCTGAACGCCTATCCATATGTAGATGTACTATAAAGCCAGGCGAGACAGTTTGGAAATGTTACAATTTTACCCACAGGAGGCAATTTACAATTTAAGATGTAAGTAGAGGTGCTTTATTAGAATTATTTTCTATTTCTCATAATCACGTTGAATTTTTATGCCGACCTCCCCAGTCCTCGTCCTAAGCTATCTAGGAAATCTCTTCCTCACCTCTGATCCCCACAACCATTTGGTTTCTGAGCCCAACCTATTCTGTCACTTCCATGTCTTGTACATTTATTTCCTCCTGTCTATCCATGCCGGTATTCACGTGATTCAGGTCTTCACCAAGTTTTGTCAGGACCACTGCTCTAGTCTTCTTCCCATCGTTGGCTGTCTCTGAATTATTCATTCCTGAAAACTCACCCTGGCATCTCTTCCTACTCAGTAAGAGCCAACCATTTCCCGATCCAGTGTTACCCTTCAATAGTTCCCCCCAAATATATTACACGTGATAGCTTACACATTTACCTCCCCTACTCGACCAAGGCTGAGAACTTCTTGACAACTGCGTCCTCCTTATGTCAAGGCCTCAGCCCCTGGTACAGTAGGTGCTTGATGAATGCATGGTCAGTGGACGAGAAGATGAACTCATCCATTGCATAGGTGAATAAAATGAAGGAGCCCACTCAGCTCACTGAGGAACTATTACTCAGTGTCATCCCCTGGCTGATGTTTCTCCCTGGAGCTGACAATTCATTACATGGAAGATCATATCCTTTAAGATGACATCTTGCATGCAATAGTTTCTCTTTTACAAGTAATTATGTTCTGAAGATACCAAGTTATTTTTCCTTTTTGAAGGCATTTGTAGTTATTATGCCTCATGTCCCCATCTAGTGAAACAAACTGGTGTTACAGCAATTAAATTATCTGTATAAATATAAGAAACAGTTGTGAAGAAATTTATAGAAAACTAGCTTTCTCCAGGTTCAAAAACCTCCCATGTGTCTACTCTGTACTTTACACAGTTCAGCAAGGTTTTTCTTGCCAAAATGACTGATGTTTAAATATCTGCACAGGGTCATGCCACTAGAAAATAATATGGATATATATATGAAAAGCATTTACAATTAGTCTGTCTTTCACCACTTTTAAGTTGAAGAGTCACTGATATGTAGCAACAAAA